ATTGGTTATTAATTAACTTAAACCACCTTGCAATTCCATTATATTCACAAATGTATTTTTTGAAATCATGTACAATATTTTCTCTGAAACGTCGTTTTTTTTATGCTTAGCACATGATTTATACCAGAATGCACCATTAACTAATGTTTTGAAAACCTGGAATTTCTTACAAAATGTGCTCTCAGAATGCTACAAATGCCATTTCAGGGATCCAAATTTTAAACATTTTCTGGGGGGCACGTCCCCAGACCCCCCTACAAATTTCGTGCCTTCGGCACTCGCCCCCCCCCCCCAAAAAAAAAAAAAATTCGCAAAGTTTCCGCCACTGCTGAGTGAGTGAGGTTAACTTGTGATACAACAGTAACAACACTCATCATTGCTCATCAGCAAAACATTTTATTCATCAGTTACACGCCTTTTTAGCAAGTTTAAATTTTAAGCAACTAACTATTAATGAAAAATCATGGTGCCCGCGATCAGCCGGCGCATAAGTTGACCTCACTTGGGGTTATAGATTCATGTCTGGGTTAGGTTAAAACGCGGAAGCGGATGCGGAACGGATATGCGGAACGGAACGGATATGGGTTAAAATGCGGAACGGAACGGATATGCGGAACAGAACGGATATGGGGTTAAAATGCGGAACGGAACGGATATGCGGAACGGATATGGGGTTGAAATGCGGAACGGAACGGATATGCGGAACGGAACGGATATGGGGTTATAATGCGGAACGGAACGGATATGGGGTTAAAATGCGGAACGGATATGGGGTTAAAACGCGGAATGGAACGGGAATAAATCGTTTTTTAAAAACAGACATGATTTTTCATGTTCCGCGTTTTACCCCCATATCCGTTCCGTTCCGCATTTTAACCCCATATCCGTTCCGTTCCGCATTTTAACCCCATATCCGTTCCGTTCCGCATTTTAACCCCATATCCGTTCCGTTCCGTTCCGCATATCCGTTCCGTTCCGCATTTTAACCCCATATCCGTTCCGTTCCGCATCCGTTCCGTTCCGCATCCGCTTCCGCGTTTTAACCTAACCCATTCATGTCTCGCTATTTATAATGCTAACCCTAATCCCCACCCTAAACCTAACCCTAAACGCTAACCCTATTAGCGAGACATGAATTCACTTGGCGCACGGTAACACTACCTCAGATTATCTTCGGCGTGAGGTTTACACGGAATGCACCCTGGCCCCCTGTCTTTATTTCCACAAAGCCCGCTCGCAGGCTAATACTCCAAGAATCTTCAATGTCTTGGAGTATTTGCCTGACACGTGACCAGCGTTTACCAGGGCTCATAGGCTATGTCGCCGCCTTCAATTCGCGACTAGCCCTGGGTACGAGGTTGAGAGGTTTCTGGTGATTGTGAACTTGTGAACAGCCCGAGACTAGTTCATTCTTATACAGCTAAGATGAAGTATCGCATATCAACTTGGAAAGGAATTGAAAGGAATTTTATTTTCAAGAAAGGAATTATATTCCTTCCTAAACTTCCTATACATAATTTTATGGAAGTTTAGAAGGAATAAGGAAGGGAATTTTTTGGAAGTTGAAGCCCAGACAAAATGGCGGTAGAAACGAATGTAAGGTATGTTTAAAACGCGAACTTTTTGAATCAAATATCCAGCGTAATACAGGTGTACGAAGCATGCCGATGACAAGAAGCTCTACCGCGGGGCTAAGAAAGTCTTTGGATAAATCAAGACGTAGCGAAGACTTCGCTAATGGCGCAGATACAACTGTTAAATACATATGGCAGGTTCGTTTCGAGTTCGTATCTAATTACATTTAATCGTAATAACATTATTACAATCTTATATTATATATTTTTCTATACTCTTGGAGAATTCTTATCTTGTAAGAATAATAAATGTAATAAAAAATTAAGGTAAGTGTGATCGGAAAGGTTGCTGTTGTTCAGTTCGTTCAGCTGATACCATTTCTTAATTTTCTTTTAACTTTCTTTTTGCTTGTTAATGCCTTCTATTATGTACATTAATGGTTGAATTATTTGATACCAGATATGTTTCTTACATGCCATCTTGTCGACCTGTAACACTTTTTTTCTATGTGTGTCCTCATCCAATGTGGAAAGTTTGTATCGCACGGCGGATATCTCCAGCACAACAATTTTGATGCTTTCTATATATTTACTATTAAATTTTCGAAATCTCCGGCGCGCAATTTCCAAACTTTCCAGTCTGGGTCCTCATTAATCCAGACTGGAAAGTTTGGAAATTGCGCGCCGGAGATTTCGAAAATTTAATAGTAAATATATAGAAAGCAAAATTGCGTGCTGGAGATATCCGCTGTGCGATACAAACTTTCCACACTGGTCATCAATAAGCCCAGAACTCTCTGCGAGGGCAGAGTCCACATCATAATGTGAGGAACCTCAGTTTTTTATCCATCTATTCTTCAATGTATAGTAAAAAAGTTGACTTCATTATCATGATGGTTTTTAGTATTCAGAAACTCATCAGCAATTCAACCCATCAGAAATGAATGAATATATTGACACAAAAAGAAAGGAACGAAATCAAAGGTATGGATGGACATTAAGTTGTTAATAATGATTAACTTTCATTAGTATTTTGTTGTTATGACAAGTAATATGATGATTGGAATATTGTACATGCATGGTTATGTTTTGTAAAATCCTGTTACTTTATAAAAGTTATTCATTTGTTGTCAAGGTTGTTCAGCAAGCCTCAACAATCAGCTGCATCTAATCCTGAAAATGTCTCCACAAACAGTTCTGATGAAGTAAGACTTGTAATATTTGCTGAATAAATGGCAATGCAAATGAACAGGGTGTTGTTGACACAGTGGTTCATTGAGCATGTACGACCATGGTTCATCTCTCACATTATGAAGTTGTCTGATCAAAAAAGTGCTTCCGATTTGGCTCTACTTTGGCACTGCATGATTTCTTAGAGTGCAGTAATCCACTTTTCTCAAGTAGAAAATTGACATTCCTGAGGTACAGTAAGGGCATTATGAAATGCCCTTACTGTACCTCAGGAATGTCAATTTAGAAATGAAGCTCACTATCCAGAATAAGTGTGGTTTAGTTTGATTTTGCACAGCATACTCCTTTATCAGCTTAGAGAGATATTTTTCTATTTTCATTACATCAGGTCAGCAATGGAAGAACTGAACAGACAAAACTCAACATAAAAAAATGTATCCTTCTGGTTGCAGCAATTTAAATTGTGCTCATGAAACAGTCATGAAATGTCCATGAAACAGTCATGAAATGTCTGTGAAACAGTCATGAAATGTCCATGAAAGAGTCATGAAATGTCCATGAAACAGTCATGAAATGTCTGTGAAACAGTCGTGAAATGTCCATGAAACAGTCGTGAAATGTCCATGAAACAGTCGTGAAATGTCCATGAAACTCATGAAATGTCTGTGAAACAGTCATGAAATGTCCATGAAACAGTCATGAAATGTCCATGAAACTCATGAAATGTCTGTGAAACAGTCATGAAATGACCATGAAACAGTCATGAAATCTCTGTGAAACAGTCATGAAATGTCCATGAAACAGTCATGAAAATGAAATGTCTGTGAAACAGTCATGAAATGTCTGTGAAACAGTCGTGAAATGGCCATGAAACAGTCATGAAATGTCCATGAAACAGTCACGAAATGTCCATGAAACAATCATGAAATGTCTGTGAAACAGTCATGAAATGACCATGAAACAGTCATGAAAATGAAATCTCTGTGAAACAGTCATGAAATGTCTGTGAAACAGTCGTGAAATGGCCATGAAACAGTCATGAAATGTCTGTGAAACAGTTATGTGAAGCAATTGGTCCTGAGCTACAAGCACAAACTTTAGAAACAAATAATTTCATCACTAAAGTTTATGAGGTTTGGTGTTGTGTTTAACCCATAAGCTGCAATGTATCAATCCAAATGTGCCCTACTTTTTTATTTTACTCTGACTAACACCAAACAATTTTACTCATCAAGGGGAGAGTCTTGTACATTTTTGGGTTAAAAATCTGTAAATTAATTTGCACACATATACATGTAGTGGTAACTATAAGTACAGAAGACACCAAGGTCTAGTCAGTTACTCTGTGTTCAAAGTGTTATTGTTCAAATTTTTTAACCAATGCCACAGCATTAAGAATGTTAGATGATGCTGTCGCTAGTCCTAGACGTACTGGATCACCACTACTTCGTACGGTTGCTACTCCTACATCGATACTCAGAGGAAATCAACAACCTTTACCCACACTTAAGCACAGTTCATGTAAGTAATTGCTGCTTACTTGTAGACCAGTAACATACACTTGATAACTTGGCACCTGTCAACTATTTTGCTCATCATATTCTCCAGACACACCAAGTGGTCGCTCATCTTTAGCAGAAGGCAGCTTTGATCTTCAGGTATGGTGTAATAGAGAGTGCTCTTTTAGCAAAAGAAGTGGTTTTGAAATACACACACATGCTCTTTCTACAGTAACAACAATGACACACTGCAGACTATTTTCTCCTTAGGCCATCATGGGAATGCCTTGATGTGTGATTGCACCCGCATGCCTTATTAACAACTCCTAAAAAGTGTGATTTGTTGCACACCTCCATTAAGCTGCAATGCAAAATGCAATGCAGAAGACCCTACACTATAAATTTACACTATACTGTATATTTCAACAGAAATTATGAAGCATAGTGACATTCTAAAATCCAGCACAATAGTCTGCTTTTTTATAATCTGACTATATTTGTGACTGTAACGTGCTACTTCCCTTCCATTAGACTACCTTGTGGAAAGCCGGCTTAAAAGCTGTATTAGGTGCTTGGCTAGCACCCTAAAACGAAACTCAACTGATGACTTCAAGGTGTGAGCTTCTGTGTGACAACCTAATTTTTGTACTCTGAACCTTTCACAGAATACATCGTTTTTAAACATGGTTGGAACAACACCAGGTCGTTCTAAACTTGGTCCAGCTGGAAGACATTTTGATGTGAGTTTGATCTCTAAGTTGTATGTGAGAGCATTTCATGGTAGCTTGGTCGCAGCGCCATGTTTTGAAACCGTTCCCGTGTCGTGAAATACGATTATGCATGCAGCTTGGCAGACCCACATTCCAAAATATGGTGCTGTGAGCAGGCTATGATATTGGACGCATTCACCACAACAGTTGAGTGCATCGGTTTCTCCTTTTTTAGGCTACGATCTCGCTCATGGACGACAGTGGTTACACAAAACCTGTTACTCCGACTGGTCAATATTTTTTAGAGGTACTATAATTACTATAGCCCTACCAGCAGCCTCGTACTCTGGTGTGCTACGCTGTCATGTGACGCGCGCGTGTGGAAATTTTACCGGCAGCTGATATACCGCGAGCAGTATGTCTATGTATGCAATAAAGTCAATGTATGTAGTGTTGGATTCCCAATGTACATGTCAGGGATGGCTCCAGCAAGATCTGATAGGGAGCCTTGTTCATGGTTTGGGGTGCACTTGGCAATAAAAAGGATTGAAAGAACAGAAAGATGTAGTTTAATTTGCTTTCTCCTGCGTGTGTCAATAGTTATCAAATTGACTACCATCTACTCGCTGGAATTAGCGCGAGGCTAGCGCAAACGCGCTTTTCCCCGCTGTTAACACGATGGAACTTATACAGAAAAGGAGAAAAACTAAAAAAGAAAGTCTCATAGGAGGTGAAGACATCGTTCTGGCCTCTCTTAATAATGACAGACGTCGTATTGTACGTCTTGTACAGCACATTGGGTAGCCTAAACCACAGGTAGTTCTCTGTCTATACATATTTTGTAGATATAAATGGTTTTTTAATGGTATTTGTTTTGTAGGATATTGAAGACAAGACGACTGATATTACAAAGTCTACCACATATTCAGAAATGGACGTTGTAGAAACAGGTGCAATAATGTAATACTTGAAAAGTCATCAGCATTGCTGATGATGACAGCAAAATAGTCGAAGCGTTGAATAAGAATGTTAACCGTTTTCGGAGTGTTTCTTGTTTTGTTTTTTCTAACATTACTCAGTGGTAACCGTAACTTTCAAGCCATTTTGTTCAGGCTTTAGCGCTTGCCTTTGAAGCAGGCAAAGAAGCGAGGGCTTACAGGATTCCTAGCGGTCTTTGAAATCCTTGAAAGTCTTTAAATTGGAATGCAGGTCTTTGAGGTCTTTGAAAAGTCTTTAAATTGTGTGAAAAAGCAAAGAAAGTCTTTAAAAGTCTTTAAATTCTTTAGTGAGGAATTGATTATACGATTTCCTAACTAATAAAATAGATTGATTGAATCAAGATTTTCGCAAATATCGACGAAAATGCGCATTTTAGGATGTGATTTGACGGGACTAATTACTGGGTAAAAATGGTGCTTACACTCACAATTTTTCGACAGTTGATTGCTCTCAAAGGTCTTTGAAAAGTCTTTGAAAATAGGAAGAAAAAATCTTTGAAAGTCTTTGATTTTTTTTGGTCTTGGAGACTACGAACCCTGGCTTATATTCAGAAAATTTAGCGCATGGTTCTTACCTTTTCCTTCTGTTTTCATAGCATTTGATGTTCTACTGGAGGGTTTTACAAAATGTCTTACAACACTGACACATTCGACTCAAGTTTTTCAGTTGGTCGAGGAATATGAAAGGGTGAGTTTTCTGTATTTTGTTTCTTCCAGGTTTAGTTGTGTATTGCACAAAGTCGGAACTTGAATACTTTTGTTTCTAGTTGTGTAATGAGACAGCATCTGCAATTTACAATTTTGCAACGAAAAGCACTCCTGGTAGAGCAAGGTAAGCATTTGGGAGAAGCAGATACAACTTGATGACATCAGCTTTAGAAAGAAAATTTTGTAACAAGTCTGGGATAATATTAAAAAAAGTTTTGTTGTTTTAATCTCTATCGCAGATTTTCCAAACGAATCAAACACATGGATGCTACAAATCAAGAAAAATACACATGGCGTCTTATTGGCTATTTATTCAGGTTGGAATTTGTTTAATTTACAAATACTCTATCAATAGCACTATATGGATGGATGATGCCGCGGTCTTAAGACCATTTTCTACTAGGGAACTTGTTCACGCCAAGCAACTTGTCAGCATGCCTTATCACAACCTCGTACTCAAAGGACAGAAGGAGAGACCCTGGGAACGAGGTTGCCCTTATCATGTTAGCAGCAGCGATGCTGACAAAGGAAAAAGTCGCTTCGCTCGAAAAAATGCGCCTAGTGGAAAACGGGCTTTAGCCAGCCTGTTCGCAAGTTCGCAATTAGCCTTTTCCCAAAAGAGATCACAGTGCATTCTGGGATCGTTTCGAGGAACAAAATGTATGGTGACAGGCGTCAAATAAGACAAATATGTGAAAGAGTAGAAGTATCTACTATCAAAATCAACTTTTCAGACAACCAAAAATGAAATATCTCCTTTTTACATTAAACATTTAATTTAAATGTGTGCTGCCATATTTCTTGTCCCTCCAACATGGGATTCGCGCGACCAGACCCAGGACTTTGGGAAATGGCTAATTGGATTTTGTCAGTGATTTCGTTCTCTTAATAAACCATAAAAAATATACAGTAATAATATGCAAAATTGCCAGAAAGTACTGTATGTCTACACCATCCAAAGAAATTCACCACGGGGACCGGGCTGTAGACATATAGGGGATAGTCCTTTATATTTGAATTTTTGTCACAATTTCATTTTAGGGACAGGCTGGAGAAAAGTGTTGAGAATGAAGACGATCTTTTGTCAGAGACTGTTGTTGGGGAAATTGTAAGCATGCGTACACTAATCATAGCTATAGTGTAATATCATATGTATCATAACCTCTGCTATATTTACGTTTTTTCTCAGGCAAAGAATAAAAGTGAAAAAGAAATAGTCTTAGACTTATTTAAAAAAGAAGCCAGCACCCGTCGTAACCAGGTACAGTGGTGATATAACTGTCTTTGAAAAATTCGTTTGAAACTTTGAATCGCGCTATACAATTCAGTATTTCAGTTAGGTTCAATTCAATATTGATGTTTCGACTTAATATTTCGCCATATTAGACTCAGAAGAATCCAACAAGTTATAATATCTGACTTTACAACAATAAACGTGACGTAATATTGATTGCTCCAGAACAGTGTTTTTGAACATTTCATGATTTTAGTTGGTTATTGATTGGTTGGAAAAGAACAGTGAGGATTGGTTGGATAATTTTATTGAGTCTGAAAACGTCGAATTCTTTGGAAACTTTTACAATTGGTAATTAAATTATACATTTTTCAATGTAGAAAGTATTTTTGCAATAAAATCGAAATATCACGACTCATTGACTCTCGATCATCATCGTGTTTTAATTCTACTTTGTATTGCATTTTTCAACATGATTTGATTTTTGATTTTCGGATTTTGTTTCATTCTCTAATGCTTTATCACTTGTGTATTGATTCAAGGGAAAACACTCTTCACTCGTTGGAACAGTCAGGACCAATGACAGCTCCGAAACGTCCTTTTGTGACAGAGATGGTAAGTGGCGGACACATCGCTCACTGCAGTACATCCACACCGAGTTCACACCTTTTTAAGGCTCTGCGCACTCCCTTTAACTGTCAAAATGTACCCAAAACTGAAAGATCCCCAATTTCAATCCTTCAATTTAAAGTGATCGGACGCCGTAAATAAATATTTCCTGTGCTCTTTGCCATTTAACGCGAATGCTGGGGGTATTGCCTGCATGTAAAAGAATTACCTCTGCCGTTTAAATCTGCCAAAAAGAGGATTATTATGTAGAGAATCTATTCATCTCTTAACATGTTGAAGTTTTTCTTTTTTAAAAAATTTAAGGACCCAGATGCTCCAGTGAGACAGAACAGACCAATTGCAGATCTTGACATAGTAAGTGTGTTTATATTATTTTACAGCATGCATGTATTATCTTCAAAATATTCGATTGGGACAAACTGTAATGCGTCCGGTTGTTCCTTTCACACACTTTATTAATTTATTTAAATAAAACAGTTTTAAGGTTCAAAATGTTTTATTGAATACCTTGCTTCGACTTACAAAATTAGTGAGACGTCATGTATTAGATAAATTTCTTATAACTTATTACAGGAAGATGAGAAGCGCCTTCTTAAGCATTTGTTTGCTTACATTCGAGCTGGTAAATTACAGCAGGTATAACATTTGGATGATTCCATGCAAGTTTTTATGAAAGACTGTTTCTGTATAGAATATTTCTACTTCTCTAGGCTCAAGAACTGTGTATAAAGTGCGGTCAAGCTTGGCGAGCTGCGACGATGGAGGGCTGGAAACTATATCACAATCCAAACTCACACAACAAAGGTTGGTGAAGAGACCTTAGGCATGGGGTTAGGATAAAACGCGGATACGGACGGATGGCGCACGACTTATTTTTAATTTTTTTTTATTAGTTTTACAATAAGAAATTGAAGGCACAGACAACAGGACTAATAAAGTCTCAAATTAAGTCCTGCCATACATAAAAATACTACGCTATACTATACTATAAACGGTTACAGAATTAATTACATTCGTACAAAAACTCAGAACATGCACTTCTACGAACAACAAGACATAAAACAAGAACGACATTTAGAGCAAAACGTTTTCCACGTCCTTGGCCTATTAACATCAAAACATGAAGGCACGAAAAAGTTTTTGAACCATATCCGCGTTTTATTCTTTTGAGCTCGGATATGACTGTTAAATGACATTTAATGAGAACATAAAGCCCGTTCTCCACTAGGCGAATTTATTCGCGCGAACAGATAAAAAGTAGGAAGCGATCCTACTTTTTCGCCGCGAATTTTTTCGCCGACCAATCACGTTGCCGGATTTCGGTTTTCGCTTCGCGTCGCGCGAACAAATTCGCGTAGTGGAGAATGGGCTTAAGTCGTCCGTCCGTCCGTCGCCATCCGTGCGTCCATATCCGTTTTATGGTGAAAATAAACACTATGATTTCCAAGAATGAATAAATTAATCTTTCTTTGATAGTGACACGTGGTGTAATTCATGTGATAAACTTTTGATTCTCAGTTCGTTCAATAAGTTTTATTTTCCCGGAAATGGTATGAACTGCTAGACAATAGACAGATCTAGATCGAGGACGCGGACGTCAAAGACGACGTCAAAATGGCGTGGCATATCCATACATGGGCACAACACGCCATTTTCTCATCGTCTTTGACGTCCACGTCCTCGACCTAAATCTGCCTATTAACATATGACATCGAACCTAACTTCCAAGACCTATAGTCATGCCTTGTTACATTTCAACAACTTTTTTAAAACGTCCTTAAATTGTTGACTTCGCATTGAATAGATGAACGGATTAATAATCCCGTTGGTGCAAGTCAACCAAACACTGAAAATGCCGATTCTCTTCACAAGGCAGGAATGGCCACTATATACAGCATACACAATTTCCATAGCAAGTACGGGAATCCAAACTGTGACCAAGGCCAATACAACATAACCAACTGTCTTGGCTAGCTTGACTTCATAACTCTGGGTATTTGAGACTGATACAGTAGCATTTGGTATACCAGACACTTGTTTTTTGGATAAACGAACAACCTTAAGAATTTTTATGTAGCAGTAACATATTATAAGCAATGGCACTAAAACATGTACTACCAGGAACGGGTAGTAATATTCATAAGGTACATTCCATACGTACTCATTACTCGGTGCTTTGGCAAAAGTCAAGGAGAGCAGTGATACTATAATTCCACTGTAGATCCATATAATAATCAATACAGTGAAAACCCATCTTGCACTGAATCTATCAGACATATTAATCTGCTTTGTAATAACCAAGAAGCGGTCAATAGTGATAGCAAGAACTGTCAGGAAAGGTACGATCAAAATGAAATTCCACAAGGAGTTGTAAATATTTACTCCAATCGCACCAAGAGGCCATTGAGGCGACGTCCAGACTTCTAAAATTTGCAGAGGAGTTATAGTCAGCGAGGTAAACATGTCCGCCACAGATAGACCGACCAGGAACCAGTTTGATTTGATTTCACGCAAACGAGAGCGAACAACAGCAATGCATATCAAAATATTTTCGAACAGCACTAATAACAATGTCAAGGTAAATACAAGTGTCACTGGAAAAATGAAATGCAAAGAATACGAACAGGATGTCGATGAATGATTTCCTTCAGCCATTCAAAATAAATATTTAAAATACAGCTTCTCATAAATATTTCGTTTCAAACTTTCGATACTCATACAATCCTATATCAAGGGCTTCTTCTTCCGTGTTCGTTTATATTGATGAAGTGTTTTTCAAGAATAACAATACTAAATCTAAATAAGAATGGCAAGATTGTGTAATGTGCAATTACGCATGACGTTTCAAATGTCACTTGACTAGCTGTTTTTTCAGCACAACTCCATAACAGCAAAACCATTCTCTGATGCGTCTCAATGTTTGCATGCAAGATTCCATAATATTACAATGGGGATACAGAAAATTGAATGAACAAAAAAATAATTTTGATCTTTTCAAAGTAATTTATTGGACTTTTAACCTTCTCTTGGACTTTTAACCTTCTCTTAATCTCGAAATTCTACCAATAAATAACATTGCCGACTGTATCGTGAAATAATTTAGGACTAATAAAGTCGCAAATTAAGTCCTGCCATACATAAAAATGCTATGCTATACCATACCATACCATACCATATACCATACCATACCATATATCATATACCATACCATATCATATATCATATACCATACCATACCATACCATACCATACCATACCATATCATATCATATCATATCATATATCATACAATATCATACCATACCATACCATACCATATCATACCATATACCATACCATACCATATCATATACCATACCATACCATATCATACCATACCATACCATACCATACTATATTATATAATACCATACCATACCATACCATTCCATACCATACCATACTATATTATATAATACCTTATTGAATTCTGATCGTTTAATTGGCTGTTTATGGTCACGTGCTATTGAATAGAAAATTCCATTTCCCAAGAGTGCAATGGAATACGTTCCATTGCACTCTTTGCGAGTGCAGTTGTACTATACGTTTTATTCCATTGCACTCTTTGTGTTTTCGATAAATTGCATCCGTCAAAATGCTTTTCATGTGGATCTATTAGTCATTTTGGTATTATATAAAACAAATAATGAGTGTTTTTATTCGTGCAATGGTAAGGATATTTTCATTCGGTGAAAGCATAAATTAAGGAGCTGAGGCGCCCGAGTAATCCCAACCCCTCAAAATCGCAGGTTACGCGGGCTAACGTGAAAATGAACACTATGATTTCCAAGAATGAATAAATTAACCTTTCTTTGATAGTGACACGTGGTGTAACTCATGTGATAAACTTTTGATTCTCAGTTCGTTCAATAAGTTTTATTTTCCCGGAAATGGTATGAACTGCTAGACAACAACATATAACATCGAACCTAACTTTCAAGACCTAAAGTCATGCCTTGTTACATTTCAACAACTTTTTTAAAACCTCCTTAAACTGTTGACTTCGCATTGAATAAATGAGCGGATTAATAATTCCGTTGGTACAAGTCAACCAAACACTGAAAATGCCGATTCTCTTCACAAGGCAGGAATGGCCACTATATACAGCATACACAATTTCCATAGCAAGTACGGGAATCCAAACTGTGACTAAGGCCAATACAACATAACCCACTGTCTTGGCCAGCTTGACTTCATAACGCTCGGTATTTGAGACTGATAGTGATACAGTAGAATCCAATATAGCAGACATTTGTTTTTTGGATAAACGAACAACCTTAAGAATTTTTATGTAGCAGTAACATATTATAAGCAATGGCACTAAAACATGTACTACCAGGAACGGGTAGTAATATTCATAAGGTACATTCCATACGTACTCATTACTCGGTGCTTTGGCAAAAGTCAAGGAGAGCAGTGATACTATAATGCAACTGTAGATCCATATAATAATCAACACAGTGTAAACCCATCTTGCGCTGAATCGATCAGACATATTAATCTGCTTTGTAATAACCAAGAAACGGTCAATAGTGATAGCAAGAACTGTCAGGAAAGGTACGATCAAAATGAAATTCCACAAGGAGTTGTAAATATTTACTCCAATCGCACCAAGAGGCCAATGAGGCGACGTCCAGACTTCTAAAATTTGCAGAGGAGTTATAGTCAGCGAGGTAAACATGTCCGCCACGGATAGACCGACCAGGAACCAGTTTGATTTGATTTCACGCAAATGAGAGCGCACAACAGCAATGCATATCAAAATATTTTCAAACAGCACCAATAACGTTGTCAATGTAAATACAATTGTTACTGGAATAATAAAATCTAACGAATACGAACAGGATGTCGATGAATTACTTCCTTCAGTCATTCAAAATATGGTTCAAATTCAAAGTACAAATGAGACAAGACAAACTTGAAACCTGATATTAATTAATTTACGCAATAACTTAACATCGCAAGTACACGTGTTAAATATTTATTTCTATAAATATTTCTTTTCAAATCTTTCGATACTCGCACAATGAATCAAAGACAAAGGCTTTTTCTTCCGTGTTCGTTTATGTTTATGAAGTGTTTTTCAAAAATGACAATGCTAAATATAAATAAGGATGGCAGTATTGCGTAATGTGCAATTGCGCGTGACGTTTCAACTGTCACTCGACTTTAACGCGTAAAAATCTCACATCTTGTAGCAAGCCTGCCAACAAGCTGTCAACAAGTTGTGTTCGCACTGCTTGTCCCAAGTTGTCAACAAGTTTGGAACAAGCTGTTAACAATTTGTAACAACCTTGTTGATATTATCAGACTTGTTACAAGGTTGTTCCAACAAGTCCGATACAGTCATGATATAACGATATTGTTACAACCTTGTGTCGTCAACCGTGTAACATTCTTGTTCATCATGACTGTGTCAGACTTGTTAGAACAACCTTTTGACAAATCTGAAAATGCCATCATTCAAGCTTGTTACAAGTTGTTAACAGCTTGTTCCAAACTTGTTACAACAACTGGGAACAAGCAGTGCGAAGACAACTTGTTGACAACTTGTGAACAGATTTGTAACAACTTGTTTGCAGACCTGTAACAACTTGTGCATTTTTATGTGTGTAGTTGTTTTTCCAGCACAACTTCATAACAACAAAACCATTCTCTGATGCGTCTCAATGTTTGCATGCAAGATGCCATAATATTACGATGGGGATACAGAGAAAACTGAATGTACAAAAAAATAACTTTGATGTTTTCAAAGTAATTCATTGAAGTATTAATCACCTCAGTTTTACTTGGGCTTTTAACCTCTTATAATCTCGAAATTCTACCAATAAATTAAAAACGTTGCCGACTGCATCTTGAAATAATTTAACAGATTTCCTCATTAACATTCCATACACGTCAGAATGTACATTTTAAACAGTTCGCGGCTACGATTTCTGATCGTTATGCAGCATTAAAAAATCTGTTCTGCTTGTCTTCAGATACAAGTAACACGAGAAACATTGAACCAGTGGAGGGAAATCCTAATCGTGATATTTGGAAAAACTGTTGCTGGGATTTAAGTGAACAGGTATATATGACAACCTTATAGTTTACAATGTTCGACCTTTCGTGCAATGCGAGGATTTCTTTAACAATAAACTATAGACTATCTAAAAACTATTAAAAAAACACTATCCACTGATAATTAGAACAGAAACATCCACTGGCATGGATTTGTTTCAGACAGCTTTCTATAATGAAAAGCAGTCTTGAAGATTGGTGCGCACCCCTGTGCACCCCCCCCCCCCTATGAATCCACCCCTGCATCTATTTAGATGTAGGTTTATTAGTATAGAATGACCAATTGCCATGACTAGCTTCTCCATTGGTTGAACGATAAGCCATGGACGTCACTTTAACATTATAGTACGGTCACCATATGAACAATTCATTTCTGTTTTAAGGAATGTTACAATGTATACGAGAGAGCTATCTATTCCGCACTTGGAGGCAATTTACGTCAGGTAGATATCACACTGCTCTGCAACTAGTGTTTCGAGATTATAATTTTGCCTTGGTCACATCTGGGATGAATGCTTCCAAACTCAATGCAGATTTGTCCAGCCACTCACACGTGTTCACGCTATGACCCACGAGAACGATCATTACTGGATCTCTAGGAAGAACTGTTTACTGTTTACAACTGATTGAGCAATCTAGTATAAATAAATTTAGTTTAGTGAGTGCTAGTATTCTTATAACGTTTTATTCCCAAATACTGCTTATACACATCTTTGAAAATAAACGTGTGAATTAAAACCTTTCAGTTATTACCGGCATGCATATCCTGGGAAGATCATCTGTGGGCTTATTTTAAAGTCATGGTCGATGTGCGAGTTGAACAGGTGGATTATGCTTGCTTTTAAAATAGTTTTAGATTTTTATCTTTTCCCTAAAAATTGGTTTCAGTATCTGTTACCTTTTCAGGTTCTTTTTCATTGCTTCGCTCTGCACGCGTGAAAACGCACAACTTGTAACAAACCTGCATCAGACTTGTATACCATATTATTAGAATGCTATAGATATCGAAGGAACTAGACTCTGTTCCGAAATATCACTTACTCGAACCGTCCTGACCGCGTAGCTCAGTTGGCAGAGCATTGGGCTAGTATTCCAAAGGTCGTGGGTTCGATTCCCACCGTGGCAGGCATATTTTTCAAGCTCGCCCGGTGTGGATATACACTCAGAGTAACATCAAAAACATCATATTCACCTGAGTACATTACACCAACACAGAAAAAAATCACGATTGTACCAATGCTGTTTCAACAACTTATTATCAGGATGTGTTCGCATTCCTTGTTCCCACCTTCTTGACAAGTTGTCAACGGCTTGTTGACAAGTCGCTATACAATCTTGTTGACGTCAGCACACTTGTTACAAGTTGTTCCAACAACTTGTTATCGTCCTGCAATTCTATCGTCCTAGAGTGACAACGTTGTAACAAGCCTGTTGCAACACATCTTGTTGACAGGATGAGATCTTTATCTTTGTAGCTTGTTCACAAGTCGTTGATCATATTTTATATTGTTCTGCATGATATACAATAAAGAAATGGCAATTTTTACTTTGATAGGAATTACGAACAAAGGCCGACCGCGCATTTGAAAATCTCTGTTCAGAGTACTGGGACCAAGTGTATGTAATACATATTATTATTTGTTTTTGTGTTGTATTCGTAATAGACCATATTAATCTGTATTATTGAAGTCATTTGACAGAAACTTGATTGTTCAATCATGCCATGATTCATGTCATACCGATTCGAAAGGATCTAAATCTACCCTGTATGCCAGGGCCAGAGAGGGAAAAAGCAAACTAGTGTTTCGTCACATCCCCACTTATTGATTATGCATACTGCTCAAGTTTTCTAATAATTGTTTCTAATGGATTGGAAGTGAAGAATCTGACGTTCGAGAATGTTTGAGGCCGTTTATTGTAATCCAGTGCTTTACCTCACAATGATAAATTGTGTAGTTAATGTGATCGAATCTGCATGTTATAGACTGACGCAAGGCAAGGTATTTGGAGAACTTCATGGCAGCAAAAATGAGGTACTACTGCAAATTAATACATATCATTGGAAGTCAAATATAGTTAGTAATTGTTAAAGTTTGATGTTTCTTTGTTGTATTTTATCCAGGCCGTGCGAGAGGAATCGAATGCACAGTTTCACGTCATTCAGAAGCACATTATTCTCAATAACATTGATGGTAAGATATCCCTGTTAAGGATTCCGCCCAGCTCAGAGTAACCAAACATATTCAAATTCTAATACATCGCCAATAAAATGACACGATGAATAAATGTGGATTGTGTTTTCAGGACTTATAGAAGAGATGTTTGGATGGCTTAGAGATCAAGCATTGTCCTCGCATATGTTGAGGTTTATGGTGAGCAATTTAACAATTCAGTTGATCTACGTGTTTTGGGCTTTTACCAATGATTCTCCTGGCATACAGTAGTATTTATTTTTAAAGCCCAAGTCATCAGGGATGGATTTACTGGGGGGGGGTACCCCCCATAGCCTTGAAAAAAGGGAGTGCCAATTTCATCAAATCCATTTTTCAATTTTGAAAGACAATATCTTGTCACCACTACCACAATAATGCCCCTGAACTCTTCCGGGAACAATCTTTGGCCCATTCTACAGAACACTGCTGTCCGTAGCTCCAAATGATTGTGGACTTGGTCAACGGTCGCAACCCGAACTATTGCCATGGGTCCCCCCCCCCCCCCCCAGATCTGGCTGGATGCATCCATGCAAGCTTATATCATGCATGCATGTTTATATTATATAACATGCAATAACTCGAAGATGAGTCGAATGACTCTTGTTTTTTTTTATTTTAGGCTCATTTTATACTGTTCCTAAGAACGGTCGGCCTTGAGACAAAAGTATGTAATGTATATAATTATTCTGTCCAAAGTTCTGCAAGATAAAAATGTCCCTTCACTCCCTTGTGATTAAATTCGATTGAGATATAAAATGATTGATGGTATGATTGTAAATGCATGCAGTTTGAGCAGAAAATAAAATGAAATGTGTCTTTTTGTTTAGGATACCATGTGTAAATCTATTTTGCAATCGTTTGTTGAGGTAAGATAGAAACTGTAAACTAAATAAATGTGTTTGGACTGGATAGCATTATCAGTTCTAAACTGCTCAATGTAGAGATAGTAACATAGTTTCATGTGGTATTTCATTAAAACATGTACGAGTAAGTTTGATGGTTTTAATTGATGGTTTGCAGTCAATCCCTTGCGATTTATAAGACAAGATGAAGGAGAACACGCCCCAAATACAACAGCTGCTAACATTGAAATGAATATAATTGGAACGCTACCTCCAACTGGAAATTTGGGGCCAGACCATCCTCGTTCCCAGGGCTTCTCGACTGCCTGACGTTGCCATCGCAAGCAGCCGAGAAGCCCTGGGAACGAGGATGAAGCCAAACTTGAAGGTCAGTCCCAGTCTTTTCACACTTGCGAAGAGCGTTCAATTAGTCAATCATGATATAAACACGCGTGATCTTACCCCCTGACACGCGTGTCTGGATGCAAGATTTGGCTTCAACACAAAGATAGGCAGTTTATCTGAAGGTATCCTTCCAGTTCTATTCAATTCAATGGCTGTTAATGATAATTTTTTTGTCATATTGATCCAATATGGCGGCTATGACGTCAAGTGCAAACGAAGAATATTCAGATATTTTAAAGTTTGTGGCGTTCATGTAATTACTAACATAGTTGTGTTTTTTTTTGTAGTTGCTGATAAAAGAGCGTCAGTTGAAGTTAGTCGCTATTTATACAAGTCATCTTCCTGCCGATGTCCAAGTTATTCTCTATGCTCAATTTCTGGAAGGTAAGAAGTATGTGTGATATTTTTAGCCGTGGTCCTCTAGGGGGGTCAGGGGAACGACAGACACTTTCTTAACGTCTGTTTAAGACTCAAAAAGCTTGTTGATTCCCTAAGTATGGAATGATTTATCATTGTAGATATTACAGATAAAGCAGAAAGAAAACTTTGCTTTGAATTGGCGGAGTCTGCTGGCTTGGATATCGCAAGCATTACTAAAACTGTGGTGGAAAATATTCGTGGCAAGGTCAGTATATTGATTTCAATTATAAATACATGAATACATAGCATAGCTATGAATATCTAGGACTGTGACGACAAATGCGAAAAACATTAGGTTGTTGTAGACTTATAAATAAATTAGTGATAAATTACTTTTTATACTTATCATAAATAAATTACTTATTGCTCAAGCACCACAAATACTGGCTGTGCTATGTTGAAACTTAGAAACAATGTTTGGGAGACATTACTCCATGAAAATAGAAAATGTTCTTTCTGTAACAGTGTTTTTGAGGTTTGGTAAACAGAAACAAATATACCGGAGCAGATGTTTCCCTGATACTAAATGTCTGTTTGCCACGATAGGATGATTTTAAAATGCAAGACGATTCTGCTCTTGAAGCTGCCACGTCAGAGGTAAGAACTGTGTTGCACTTTTATACGAAATAATTGTTACAAACCCTGCCCCAATTCAAATTTATTGCAAATTCTCCTAACCCCTTCCAAGGGGTGCAGGTAGGGTGGAGGGGTGTGGTTCAGGTTGGGTGGTGGTGGGGGGGGGGAGGACGCCAATTTCCTTATCAACTACAACATTTTCACCTTATGAAATCCATTAGCCTCAAATTGACCCTTAGAACTATCCGTAATGATGCTAGTAAATAATCTCTTTTTGAGGTGTAATAGATTTCCTTTGATTCTATAAAATCTGTGTTACAAGTTGTGTTCCTTCACTCTACAGGAGGACAGAAAGAAAATTGAAGCTATAGAGTGGCTCATTTTTGATCCGTCTCAACGTGCTGAAGCTATTAAACAGAGCAATGCTATAATGAGATGCTTTCTAGGTACGTTTTTATCCCGTTTTGAAAAATTTAACTCCCGAACCCCTACGTATACTTTGTTGCCATATATGAAGAAAAACCAGAAAACCCCAACACAAAACTGTATTTCAAAACTGAAGATAGTTTTACAAGTCGCTAGAAAGGAAAAAAAAAATTAACGTCCGCTTTATTTTGTTACGTAGCGCTAAGAAAACATGAAGCTGCTCGAAATATTTTTGAAAAACTTCCTGAAGACTCCATTGATGTTGTACACAGACAGTGGCAAATGAAGGTAAATGTAGCGAACTATGCATGGCTAAACGATCATCAAAGATCAAAATGTCGCTTTCGTGACGTCTGATTTGTAAACAAGGAAAGACCTGGCAACTATTGAGAGAAACCCATTGTTCAGATTTAAATGCAAGCGTTTGCTTGCTTGTTTATATCAAAAGAAAATGGCATAGTTAATCCAGAGAAAATTTGTAGAGATGAATTTCACGAATTTACGCACATGTTTTGTGTGGATTCTGAGATATGTCGTGTGTATGTGAGAATTTTGTTGTTTTCAGGCTGGCGATTCACCCCTTACCGCTCAAGATAGTAATTCAATCCGTGAATATCTTTGTATAAAAGCTTATCTGGTAGGTCTTCCTGACTTTCTTCACTTCATGTAATTTTTGTGCAACATGCATACCAGTGGCGTTAGGTAGCCATGGCAACTGGTAATGGCTATGGTAAATTTAAATTTAGTTTAATAAACCCCACCAATTTAGTTTAATGGATTTCTATTGGTTCGAATAATACAATAGTTTTAAAATTTGCATTGCAAGACCAGTTGCAATGGCTGGCTTCGCCACAAGCTGATACATACTGAACGATTTGACCATGCAAGAACCTTTATTGTAACTTACAGTAACAGTTTATGCTTTGAAAATTTTAGGATGCTTTGGAAACATTTGATGCTTGGTTTGAACATTTTCATCGAAATGCTCCAGTAAGTATAGAAGAAATGGAATTCAATTTAAGATTGAACAGTTTCTTAGAATTTGTAGGTGGCGGGTTTCAATGATGACGTCACAATTATGTGTGCGATATCTCAAATACATAAACCTATAACAAATGAACTACGTTTGCTTTATTAGAAAGAGCCAATTGCAAGAGGGCCTGTGTCATTCACAGAGAAAGTCGCTTTTGAACAAGATCTAAAACAATACGAGGTTTGTTGAACTGAGTACGTTTTTACTTTTTTTACGAAACAAACGAAAGCGTTTCAAGGAAAGTTTGTCACAGAAACTTGTCTCGGGAAATTAGTCAAAGGAAACATACTGTCTGCTTTGATACAGTGGATACCTGACTCAGCGCGATCGCTAGCCAACTTTGAAGTTGGTAGTGTGTCATGTACATTTGTTAGAATTATCATACTTAAAATGGGGCAGTGGGGGCGGGGGATGTAACCTCATTCACCCACAAACACATCCCTAATTGCAATACCTGCTGCTCAATACATTTGCTCATGGTTCACACCAATTAAATTTTTGTCCCTATTTTTATCCTTATGAAAATTTGGAGGAGGTGTGAAGCTCCACCGTGGTTTGATATAAATAGAAAACGCTGATTTTATCATGCTTATAGCAATATATTTCGCGAAAGATCGTTTAATTGTTATAACGATTGGTATTTACCTTATATAAACAACATGTTTTATATTCATTTGTTGAGAAGTGGAAGGAATTGTGTTAATTACATTCACGGCTTTGTGATTCGGGTGTTTCTTGATAAGCTGATAAAAATAGAATGCAAATCAAGACTTCGTTCACACGGAACAGATCTTCACGATGTCTTCACACAGATGCGTGTAACCGGGCCAATTTGAGCACAACTAACCGTGTGAATTCCCATCTGAACAAATGGAACCTGGCAAATTTGCGTGCGGTTTTGAATTCCGTCCTATCTCGCGTGAACGTAGAGCATGTCCTTATTCATAATTGCTGTTCGCTTTATACTTGTCGTAATATGTTTGATAATCATGGAAACTGTCGAGAACTATTTTATTCTAGCTATTTCTGAATAATCCTGAGCAAACATTGCCATATGGTTAATAAATTTAGTTATTTTTTTATTTAATTGATGCGTGGGAAGTTTTATTGCTGTGAGAACGCTGCAGCAGACAAAGTGATTAATTGTGCATGCAAGTAATTGTTTGATCATCCATATCTACTAAGCAGAGAGAATAGATATTATGTAAAAATAGAACAGCTTGATGAGAGTTTTTTCAACTGGTGGCTAAATTACCTCTTATGGCAACTGGACACTGTATAGTTCAGTGGTCAGAGCGCTGCATAGGAATCGCAGTGCCAAAGGTTCAATTCCTACCACAGTGCCAGAGGTTCAATTCCTACCACATTGCCAAAGGTTCAATTCCTACCACAGTGCCAGAGGTTCGATTTCTGCCGGAGGGCATCATTTAGTTGAGTGGAAAATACCAAAAAAACCCTCAGCTGCGGCCAGCCAGGTACAAAATGTGTATATAATTTTTCCCTAGAAATTTCCATCCACGAAAACCCTTCAATATTTTCCCCACAATTCATTCGCTTTTCGCTGTTGAAATACAGCCTAGTATTGAGCTTTTCAGACATTGTAAAGGAATATCAGTAATTACAATATTATACAAGCGCACGCCAGCAAACAAATGTGGCTGACCTTGATTCCTTAAACCCTGGATTTCCTAGATTATAATTGGACTAAATTGACTATGGAAAAGTACAACTAAAGAAAATATTGAGATTTCAATAACAGCACTTTAGAATATGTCAAACCACGAACAAAAAACTTTGAACATATACCCTAGTTACATCAGAGCTTTTCCTTGTTTTTTTTTTTTTGGAAAAGGGTCCCGCATTCATGCGCCTCATGTTTGTATTTTTTGCAATGTAGGCAGAAAGAGACAGATGGCAAAGAGCGCTAGATTTACATACAAAGGTATGTTGAGATCCATGTACAATTATTTGTTTTGACAAGTTTATTGTCTTGTAACAACTGAAATATTACGTTGTGAAAGTCACGGTTCCGACATCTATCAAGACCATATTTTGATCACTGCAATTTTTCATGCAACTTGCAATGCATACAATTAAGAAAAAAATTGTGAAGGAAACAACTAGGGATTCAGCATAATATGTATTACTTGTGATTTTAGGAAACTTCACATCGAATATACAATGTTCTGTTGTTCCCAGGAGGTTGGATGATTGACCTTGATGAGGTACAGTAGGTAGTAGATTGGGTGTGGTTTGCTAATTCACGACAACAAGAGGACCTAAAGAAAAAGCCTCAAAGTGCAGGAGAGAACCAATTACCATAACTGGACTTGCCCCAGTTTTCAAGCAGATGAAATCTGTGTATGGTAATCGCCCATTTTGATATCACGATTTTGGGCATCTCGTTCGACAGAACTGAATGTGAATAGGTTTTTGGGTAGATGGAACGAAAATTTCGTACGAATTCTTTGACATGGTCCCGATCGTGACGCAGAACACTATTTCGCGGGATCGTGAACAAAGCTCTTTCTGGGCCTCCTGCATGAAGTCAACTTTTTGAAAAGAAGAAGCAATGCTATATTAAATATTGGAGATGGCTCCAACCTGATACTTGGGCGCAGGGTCGTAGCTAGAACGATAATTGAGGGGGGGGGGGTATATTCATATATTCGCGTTCTGCCCGACGGATTTCTTTTCAAATCGATTGTTTTTACGGTATGTAAACATGATTATATGAATATACACCCCCATATCGTGTCTAGCTACGGCCCTGCTTGGGCGGTAACAGAGGTGTATCAGGTGGTCTTCACATGACCTTGTATTTCAAGAAGGGCGCACAATGGCCCAAATTTGATGGAGGGTCCAGACATGGGAAGGGTCCCGTCCAATGTTTTGCAGTGTCTCAAGGTTAAGACAAGGTTGAGGCCCGGAGTAAGTTGCCCCCTTTGTCCTCCCCTCTCGATGGTTCTGCCGTCACTGGTCCTGCCGTCACTAGGCCTAATGGAATGTTTGTAATTTCAGGAAGAGGACCCAAGGGAATCGAGAGCACGTCAACTGGGCTTGCTACGTCAGTTGTGTATACCATTCCTGACATTTCTGCTGCAAAGTGTGTTATCATCTGCCAGTGAACATAAACAATGTCTTCAGCTGGCTGATATAATTGCGTCATCAAAAACGGCTTTGTACGAGGTAAAGTTCATTGGTATACAAGAGATAACGTATACCTCGCAGGAATTTGCTTTATAAAATAACATGTATATAACACGTGCTCTGATTGGTCGAAACCTGTGTTTGGATCAGGCCATCCAAACACGGAAATCTAAAGTGAAAGTTTTTTAAAGTGAAATTTTAACACGGAAAGTTGTTATTTTATAAAACAATTACTTTATGGTTTCCGTGTTTGGATGGCCTGATCCAAACACTTGGGAATGTTGCTCGAGTTAAGAAAAGCGCGCGAAATCACTCGTCTTCGGCTCGTATTTCGCGCGCTTTTCTTACTTCTCGCAACATTCCCGCGTTCTTTGTTGCAGATACGAGACTATGTATGCGTTTGATAAGTACTGTAGAACATCCGGGAAAACTTACTTAACATAGATAATTTGTTGTGTTGCCAATCCTAAAACCATTCCAAATACCAACACGCTGATGCCGTAACGATGTTTTTCAGGTATTTCGCAAAGACGAATTACGAAAACTCCTTTCATTACTTCGACAGTCTTCCATTCAAATACTGGAAAACCAGAGTGATCCATTAGGGTATGAAATGAAGTGAACACAAAAGGAATAGACGTTTGTATATACATATATGCATTACATAGAATTTCAATAGTATTTGACCCTGTTTTTGTACTAGGCTAGCGTAAATAATATGTCGGAAAATAATATTTCCAAAGTTAAAAATAATATTTACAAAATAATAATAATTAAAAAATATTATTAATATTTTTAAAAAATATTAATAATAATATTTAAAAAATATTATTTACAAAGTAAATAATATTTCCAAAGTTGTTTTGAACGTGTCCCTAAGCGCACTCCAACTGCGTTTTGATTCCGTTTTTACCGCGCTTTGACGAAATACTGACCGCGTTCTTACCGTGTGTTAACGAGATATTGATCGCGTTTTTACCGCGCTTTGACGAAGCACTGACCGTGTTCTTACGACCATTACGACCAAACCAGACTCTAGTTTTTGCAAAAAGACAAGATTAAATGATGGATAGATAATGCTCTAAAGGGGCACTTGCATTTCCAGTTGCGCTACCGGTTTTTATTCTGTCCGATGGATTTTTGTCGAGACACTTGAAATATAGGTCACCAAGCTGAAAGTAAGCTTTGGCTTCACCAAACAAGGTAAGTTTTTTTTTACCGTAACATGATTGTTGCTCATGATACAGTAAGGTAAATAAGATTACACTCAGGATTACCCACACTAGGATTATACATGGTCAAGGCTGGATTCAGTTCGTGGATCTTCTGCTGGGTTGCATCCTCTCTCATTAGTGAAAATACAACGTCAACGAGAACTTGCTCATCAACAATAGATTTTTACTCTAAGACAAAGGCAGTGAACTCTATTTATATCTGGAGTGAGAACTTGGTTGCTGAAAGTGAAGCCAAAGATGGCGGAAATTGACGTCCAGTGCCAGTCCTTTCTATTGTTTTTGTCCGCGCGGTCAACACAAATTGACGTCCAGTGCCAGTTCCTTTCTATTGTTTTTCGTGTTTTGACGTCGATTTAAAGAAGAATACTGTGGTTTTATAAACTGATAACTTGTTCAGCGATACAATCCATTAGAGAAAAGTAGAATTAGATAGGAAAATGCTATAAAAACTGTTTACAACCTTCATAGATTTTGGACGTCAATGTCCGCCATCTTTGGCTTCACTTTTCACATAAGCCGAATGACTGAAGTTCTCACTCCAGATATATATATATAGAGCTCACTGGACAAAGGCGACTATAAATCGTATTCCCTTGAGCATTCTAGTACACCTTAGCTGTTCAAACTGCTACCTGAACCCTCAGACAAACGAGGATGAGAGTTGATGAGAATTGGCAGTCACGCATTGTTATACGGAGGACATTTGTCTTTGAAGCGCTAGATGAACAAAATAAATGTTTGATGAGTATTCCAACTAAGTTTTAACTTCAGTAGAATACATGTTAGTATAAATTTCCAGGTGACTATTGATTTTTCTGCATTCTGATTGGTCAAGATTCACTGTCTCTGAAGTGATAGTCACTGGTCAGTGACTATAGCTTTTTTTTCAAAATGGCTGCTCGTTTTGCCGTAGTAACAGAGGAGGAAATTGCCAAAATTAAAGAAGATAGCATTCCGAAAAAAACCAAACAAGCTACAAAATATGGTTTAAAAATATTTCAAGGTAAAATATTAAACTTTACGTGCTTTTATTTGGAAAAAAACTGGCTTAGTCGCAACGCGACACAGAGCCGTGTCTGCATGAGATTTAAATTTTGTAAACAAACTATTTATAGTCAAAATAAATTTATTTGAAGTGAATTTTTATAAAGTTGTGTGGATTATTGTTTGTAAACACCTGGAAATTTATACTAAAACAATTAGTCGCCTCAGGCTCGGTGATTACAAGCCTATATTCACTTCGCCTTCGGCTCAGTGAATATAGGCTTGTAATCACCTCGCCTTCGGCGACTAATTGTTAAATAGTGTTGGAAAAGCATTAAGAACAGCTAACCAAGATCACGTGACTTGGCACTCTCATCCTCGTTTAATCCGAGCTTTATTTACAATATTTTCACGGCTCATAAAGTCAATTTCCATATGGTCGTAAAAATAGAGTCACGATCTTTCTCAACGGCCAGTGTATAATAGTTTACACATATAAAGCATAATTATAAAATAACATGTATATAACGTGTGCTCTGATTGGTCGAAACCTGTGTTTGGATCAGGCCATCCAAACACGGAAATTTAAAGTGAAAGTTTTTTAAAGTGAAATTTTAACACGGAAAGTTGTTATTTTATAAAACTTTGGCTCGTGATTTCGCAACATTCCCGCGTGTTTGGATCAGGCCATCCAAACACGGAAACCATAAAGTAATTGTATAGTATTCTCTAGTTATAATCACTCCGCGTATTTTCAGTTCTTAAAATGTTGTATTTCGGCTGATGAGAAAGATCGTGACTCAATCTTTACGACCGTTACGACCATATGGAAACCAGGCTTAACCACGCCAACAGTTGATGCGTTGGACGTCGTGTGGGATGTTTTATGTGAATTCACTGACTCTTGCCACTTAAGAGTTGTTTATAAAGAAAGATAAGTACTTTTAAGAGGCAAATAGAGTTAAGTTTATGCTTTGGCTCGCATACAAAAATGTGAGTAATTTTGTTTTCTGTTGTTGTTGCCGTTGTTGGTTGCCAAACTCTCTACTGACATTAGTTGTGCAAAGGAAGGGTAAACCTCTGGATAGCCTATAGATAGGGTTCACTAACTTCACTGTGTGATGTAATGCAACACATCGTTGCCGTCAAATCTGAAATAAAGACAGTAAACACTTTTAGTATAATTACATAGGTGATTATTGAAAATTTTCCACGCTGATTGGTTGCCGTTGAGGTGATTATTACGCGATAATCACCTAAGCGATTTTCAAAATGGCGGCCGAAGCCTTTTTGTCAATTAAATGACGAAGAAATTGTGTATTTTCTTATTTTTTTCCAAATAATCACCTATGAAATTATACTAAAACAATTATTCACCTCAGGCTCGGTGATTATCGTGAATAAAAACCTCGACTTCGTCTCGGTTTTTATTCACCGATAATCACCTCGCCTTCGGCGAATAATTGTTAAATAAAGGCCCATTGCCACAGAAAATTTTCCTCAGTGGAAATGGGCCTTACGCGTGAATACATTTGAATTCGACCACCAAGGGTAGCATCGTATGAGATCTTTACTGAAACCTATGCAGCAGTGAGCTCTTTATATAACTGGAGTAATATTTTTAATGATGTGTACCTTCAGTCTCAGTCCTTTGCAGATCCATTTCATCAACTTTATAAAATGAAACCGCGTAATTGACGAGCACCATATGAACCATATTTGGCTTGACTTTTCCTCCAGGAAATAATTGAGTGAAGATCTTATTTGAGCTATATATGGAGTTGAGGTGCAACCACTGAAACCAATAGTCAATATCTGCCAACCTTTGATTTACTTTCTATTCGGATAGTCCACTGAAGCCATCTTACTTCATTTATATAGCGGAACTCACAGCGATGTTATTAGAAATTCCATTAATTATGATGAACATTTTGGTCAGCACTGTTGCTGGTTATTTCTGGGGTGTATAGGAGACTCGAAAAAGGTCGTTCCTCCCCGCATGCACCACTTGAATGTAAAAATAGTCCAATATAAAAAATCCATACGTCGGGATTCCTGGCATTCATCCGTATGTCCGCTTGGCAAGGACCTCCCTAAGCTCACTGTTTACGCTTTACAAGTTGTTAAAAGGCTAAACTTTAAATTGATTAATATACCTAAAGGACAATACAAAAATATCTGCCATCGGCTATACTGTCAGCACTTGGGGGAAATATTTCAAGCAGTATTTAATTAATTTTTTGCTTCCAAATTTCAGTCCAAGTGTTACAACATCGTATTAAGACGAGCAGTATTGACATGTCTGCGGAAACTTGATTTACCATTCTGGATATACAAGGAGAAACAAAATTAGGTATGACAATGTTATATAGTAAACGTAGTGGGTGTTAGTCATCCTTTAACGTATAGCGCTGAATTGCGAAGACGCCGCTCGAATGTGTTCGTATCGAAGGCTTACTCTAGGCGCCTCTGGCTCTCACCATATACGACCCGAGTAGGGTTTGTTTTTAGTCAGGCAGGAAAATTGTAGCTAGAAAGATAGTCGAAGCACAGGAGACCAACCACAACTTACATGAATTTTCAAGCTCATCAGCTTTCTGCAGTTAACATGCCTTTTCATTTGAAAATGTTCAATGAATTGTCCCCATTCAAGTAATCCACCTTAAGCTTGTAGACTGGGACGACGACGACAGCCAAAAAAAATTTCTTCAAATTATGATGAAGAAAAGTTGTTGTGTATTGTCCACTGTATGAATTTAATATAGTTTGAGACTAGATCATCAAAACAAAGGCTTCATGGTTAAAATATTTCTGCTGGGAAAATTTGGAGTACCATTTGTTGCCGCTTAATTGAAATGTTTGCCGATGTACAAGTGGGAAGATATTAACCTTTCATGTGCATCTGCCAAAACAGGCAAACATAGAAACGAGGCCATTTGAGCAAAAGTGAAATAAACCGTGAAGTCTATTAGATAAGAGACGAGAAAAATCTTTGTATGTACATCACGATGTTTGAGATATCTCATGCAAACTCTCTTAGTATTACGTGATTCTGAGCACAAACGTACTTATTTGCTCCCTTAAAACGTTCGGCTGCATCTGTGCTCAGGCTATCTAGCACATCTTAGCAAAAATGTCAAAACCACTTCAAAGAGTAATTTCTATTTTGCAAAACATGTAATTTTGGTTGCCTAGTATATTTTGACTACAATCGAAAGTATATCTAGATTTATCAAAAATATTTATTTTGGAGCTTGCATAACGGTTAAGGGCACTCCAAGTTTCTATTCTTGGTTCACACTTGACGTCGTGGCGACTATACGTTGGAGGAACGCCGACAAAAGAATATTATTATCAGCTATTGTATTTGGCGTGTGTTTCCCTCAAACATGGCCGCTTTGTCTTATAAATCTCAAAGGGTTGATTGCAAAGCACGACAAGATTTCATTCCAATCATATATATTATTTCAACGCGGTTGCTTCCCAATTACAATCTAAAAATAGCTTGGATAGCATAGACAGACGTCAGAAATTGTATATTGCAGCAAAGATGAGAGATAAGTGATAAGAAACACGTCCTTGAGTAATGGCTTCGTCGAAATATTTCGCTTGATTTCTTTTGAATTGTGACCATCTGAATAAATTAGTTCTACAATTCAAAAGAAATTGAGCGGGTTGAAGTTTTGACAACGAAATGTTTCTTGCAAGTGGAAATCCAGCTTAAGTGCTGATTTAATATTTTCCGTTACTAGCAATTTGTGTCGAATATTGTTCTCATAAGGGATGTCCACCAAAATACTGGTTTCATTTCAATCTCAAGAGTCGATACATGGAATTGAAGAGATTTTGAAGTTTTTTCGATTTGTGGGCGGATAATTCCATTAATACTGGGTAAAAACATTTCTAATGTAGTTTTGATGCGATCATGACCAAAAGCGACCATCATTGCTGTATTAAAAGTTCACGTTTTTTATCATTGCATTATAAAGAAAATTCAAAATGACTCAAGATTTTGCGAAGCTATCTTAGCTTTCTTTCTGGAGATATTCAACAATATTCGATATGCAAACTACCTTCATTATGACGTCAGATTGCATAATGACTTTCTGAAAAAAAGTTTTAGAACTCATAGATAACAGACCTTTCTCATAATGAAGTCTTGATGCAATGTCCCAAGGGACAATTTTGAGCGACAATTCACAATGCAAATGATGTTTTTATGACATTCATTGGCTCGCCAACGACTTGCATTGTCCTGTGGGACATCGCATAAATTAGCCTGCTTGCCGCCTGGAATTTCCAAGGGGGGATGGGGGATAATATCCCCCCTTGGAAATTCCAGGCGGCAAGCAGGCTGCGCATAAATTGGTTTTCTGCATTTGTCGTCATTTATATAAGAAAGGTCTATTGATTCAAATTTGTCGACATATATTCAAGTTTTATGATTTCGTTGTACGATATCTCAAGATCTTCAAGTTTTCAGTTTCACCGCAAAGTCATTGTTCAATGTGACGTCATAGCGAGGAAATTTGCATTTTAAAAATTGTTCCATATCTCACGAACGAAGGAAGCTAAGAGAGTTTGAAAAAGTATTTTGTTTGGTCATTCAGTTGAATTTGCTATGTGAAATTTCGTTCATAAACACTTTAATGACATTATGGCTTTTAAATTAAGTCGTGTTTACACTACAAGCCTTGGCCTGGCCAAGGTAAATGTGGCGCGTTTACACCATTACACTATTTTTTTGAGACAGGCTCACTTTGGCCTAGAATTTTGTAATTAATTTTGTGTATTTTTATGTGTTGTGACGTTGTCCGCTGATCTCTCGTTGTGGACACACGTTGCCATGAAAATAAGGGAAATATAAACACTTTCGGCCCTGGCCTGGGCACAAGCCTAGACCTAGGCCAGGCTTACGCCACCGGTTGTAGTAGGCCCATATTTCCTGGCCTAGGTCAGGCCAAGGCTAGGCCAAAGTCTGTTTACACTGTCAAAATCCCTCGTCAAAATGTAGGCCAAAGCCAGGCCAAGGCTGGTAGTGTAAACACGACTTTAGTGACAAAAGCTCTAAACAACCTGACTATATAAATAAAATAAACCACTTTCTGACAATGAATATATAGAAATGCTTGAAAGTAATTTTTTTAAAACATTTTGTGCATGTACGCTACAGTACGTCTACGTTCATTAAAAAAATAATCCATGCTCTTAGCACTTATGCGGTTATGCGGTTAGTATTTCTTGGTAAACTCGTGTTTTATCTGCCCGCATTTCAATATATCAGCGTGCAGTCGGGCTCAAAATTACCGTTGTGTAATTGTAGCTACGCATATATAATAAGTTTAGACGTGTGAGTTCCTTCATGTACTACTTTTAAAACGCGCGTCTCAGAGTCGAAACATGATGCTTATTAATTAATTTACATTAATTTCCCAATATTATATGATTTCCACTTTGTGTGGCAAAATTTAATCAATTTCTTAAAGTGGACAAAAATAGCGAACCTCGAAAAACATTTTGCTTAAGATCTAATTAGCAGGTGTATATCTCTTTAGCATAATGGCCTCTTAGGAAAATTCTACAGCTTTTAATAGCAGTGTAAGTGTCGTTCTTATCTCATGCCAAAACCTCGCGTAAAATTTTCAAAAGAACCGGTTTGATTGGTTTGAATACTAATACGGGTAATATCTAATCTGGCACACGTGGAAGCGGTTATATCTTGTTTTCAATCTTCCAACAGTTGGTCCCAGCTTACGTAGCGGTCTTTAAGTGCCGACACTTTTTTTTAGTACATTAATGCCAGTTTGACACGAACATTTTCATTATCACATGAAGCTTTTATGGCTTGCTTTAACACAATATATCGTCTAAAAAGACGTCTGTTTTATTTCACATAAATAACTTCTCTCGGATGAGTCACGTACAACATTAAACACGATATCCCACGCCTCAAACGTTGCTAATAGGGCTGGTTATCGTTTTACGTAAGTTACGTAGTTATTTGGGGGAGAATAAATATAATCGCGGGAGTTCAATATAGCTCCTGTCAACTGTTGTAAAAGCTTTTGCCCGAGGATCGCATAGACTGGCTCTAATTGGCAGGCTATATTTCAAAATCTAATTGTCATAATATGAAATTGTGGGTGTTGAGATCTACATGCTTATATCCACTTAGGTTTCACCCGACAATGCAGCCACATGTAGTGATGCGACTTTCCCTTGTCAACACCCGTACTTGTCTCAACTGGATGAAATGTAAATTATATATCTTCCCTTGTATAGCATGATTATATAACAACCTTTGCACTCGAATGTAACGTCTGTTTCGTATTGCGTTGTAGGAGCGGTATAATAAACCTGGAGCTGTTCATTACAGTATAAACTTGGTGGAATCGTGAAAGTGTGTGGCGGTAAGATGATTGCGTGTTGCATGCAAATTAAAAGAAACGTAGACTGTTCTTTAGTTTTGTATAGTATAGTATAGTATAGTATAGTATAGTATAGTATAGTATAGTATAGTACAGACATCACGCGATAGTTACGTTGCACGTAAAATCGCTGCGGTCTTAAAGAGACGAATATAATTTCAATTCAATTCAAATTTCTTGAATGGCGAAAAACAACATTATCCTGTTGGTTTGTGGTGTGTGGTGTTTTCCACAAACCAAAAGGATAATACAATTTAAATTTATTTGTGCACGACAGCCTGATTGACCCCATGCTTGGCCTTGGGCCTTGGCTTGCATATGACTAAAACTACGTTTCATAAAATTTGTGTTTGGTCTATATAAAGCAACATCAGCAGGGTGTGATTACTTTTTAAGTTGTATCCTTCGTTATTACAAATGTGTTGGTTTTGAAGCCCCGACAGACAAACAAGTGTTTTGTTCAAAAATTGCGTAGCGAGCTTACTTGCTGCGCATGTGCTAACAGCCTGACAAATTTATGTGTTCGTGAAAATGCTTTTATGTCGTTTAGAGCTGTAGGGCAACATTTTGCGAGCATATTTTACATGTTTAATCAACTAGTTGCTTCATGGAACACAGTGTTATGATTCCTGTCGGTCGGCTGATAGTTTTAGTTTCAAAATTGCTCCCGGTTATGTCAGTGCCTTTCCATTCACGATATAGAATCTTTCATGAAATATCCGCATTTTATCCAATTCTTACTAGACTAAACAGATGCAAAGTCCTGTTGAGAGGGAGCATGTTTGTCTTGGACA